AAGATAAACGAAATACTAGTTTCATATAATACAAGTAAATTCCACTAAGTACGATTACTCCGTTTTATATGGAGCTAGTATTCCATTTAACTTTTAACATTTATTGTCAAAAGGACCTCATCTGGAGAGCTGACGTGTATTTGAAGGACTACATATGCACTTTTAAAATTTGAAGGACCAATCATGCATAACTCATAAAGTTGAAGGACTATTTATGGACTTTTAAAACTTGAAGGATCAATCGTGCACAATTGATAAAGTCGAAGTACCAATGGTGGAGTTTAGCCTATAAAAAATGGAAAAATATTGTAGGAGAGAGGCAGTAGCATTTCCCAAGCTAGCACAAAATAGAAGTCTACCTGATGGGGATTTTGGGTGATGGAAAACTTTGGACATGAAGTGGAACTGGGTACAGAGCTATTGGGAGTGCTTGAATTTGTTGATCCACCTTCTTCTGTCTCTCTTCCATCTAACTCTCCCTGCTTTTCACATCAAACTCATACCACACTTCAATGACTTACGAATACCCACTTCATCCCATAGAAAAAACATAAAGTTATTCAAGTTGGACTTGGGGGCAATGGGAAATGGGGTTCATCTTCTTTCTTCTTTTTTTTTTATAAAAGAAAGCACAAAGGCTAGCTTAATTCTTACATGAGTTGATTTGTTTTCAGTTCGGCTGCTGCCATTGTTGATCAACAAGTTTGTTTCAAACAGATGTTGGGGATTCCTTAAGCCTGTTTCACAGCCCCATCCACTGAGCTTTTTGCTGCACCTCTTAATCTCAGAATCCCAATTTCTCTTTGTTGAGCTCCTTCTCAACTCCTCCAGCTTCGCTGCTAATTCCTCAATCTCTTGCTCTACATTGGTGGCGTCCTCCTCCTTTCCTTCACAGACTTTCTTTTTTCCCTATAGACCCAACAATACAAAAAAAAAAAAACCAGCTGCCAACTTATTCTTAACACAAAAATCGACACAAGCAATTCACAAAGACTAAGAAAAGAAAAGGGAGAGGGAGATGGGCGGGACGAACTGCAACGAGAGCCTGAACAGCCGATCTGAGAGTAGCCTCCATCTGGACTCTGTTCCTCTCGAGCTTCTTCATAGCAAACTCTCTCTCCATCCTCAGAAAACTACACTCCGCCCTCCACATCTCGGCTTGAACCATCCAATTTCCCTCTGCCCTCTCTCTTCTATGGGCGCAGGAAGCGGAGTTTAGAACCACAATCGGGACAACGCCGCCACTTGAGAAATCCCTCTCTTCGTGCTGGGGAGGGAGAGAAGGGCGGCGGGTCGGGGACGATTGGGGTTTCTCGCCGGTAGGTTTGCAGTTTTCCTTGCGAGGCCTTCTGATGGGCAAGTGGATGATATTGGGGCTGTGCGGCGGCGCAGGGTTCCATTTGAGCCTTCTGTTTGGTATGGGCATCGACATTGGAATATTCTCTCTCTCTCTCTCTCTCTCTCAAAAAGTGAGTCAGGGTAGAGCAGAGTGGAAAATGTACATTGGTGGAATTTGAATTCAACGGTATAAAGATCAGAGGGGTTTCTGTTTATATTACTAAGCTAGTGGGACGGGTTCTGAACAACTCTTCCTTTTTTAAGCATCAAAGCAGTTAATTACTACGGAGTATTAAATTCCATCATTTGTCAAATGCCCTTTGAAAAAACTTTCATTGACTTCTAAGAGCATCTCCAGCCGAGGTGTTAAAAATGAGAAGCTATATGATATTTTTAGACTATGTATAGTGCTTTAGAGGTTAAATTTTTAAAGTGAATTCCAATCACATCTTCTATTTCTCTACCCTTCTTTATCGGATCAAGCGTATTTTTTTCATATCAAGCCTTCACTTTGGAGAAACCGAAGCCAAATCAAGCCTCTTTTTTCTGGCAATCTCTTCGATAACACATTCACATAGGAAAAAAGTAGACCTCAATCTCCCCTCTTTTCCGGTGATTTTGTTGTGGTTCAAATCATGCCAGGTTAAGATCATCAAGAACAGATCTATCCTATCGAAGTCTAGATTTGCTAAGGCCGTCAACAAGCTTCCGATCAGCTAGTTACGGGAGAGGTAGAAATCCGACGTAGAGGGCCGCCAGAATTCAAGTGAGTCTTTCTGGTGGTCCAAGTCGATTTTAGCTAACCTACAGTATCGTCTATTTATGAAGGCTCTAAAACTTAAAATAGCTTGTGGTCTAAATTTTGGAAGCTCCGTTGGAGCACCAAAAAAGGTACCGTAGCAGCTTAACTTCTATTCTTTAGACTTTGGCTGATCCGTTGGAGATGGCCTAACCCGTCTTCCCATTTAAGTAGGGGTGTAACCGGATATTAATCGGATCGGATGTGCCATTACCAAATCCGTATCCGTTTATTTTTGTCGGATATCGAATTCGGATACGGATCTTGACGGATACTGAAAATCAAAACAGTATCCGCATCCGTCGGATATCGGTCGGATATCGGATGTATCCGTATCCGTTTCCAATTTTTAAAATCAAATTAAACAATACTTTAATTTTAAATTAGATTAAAGTCAAACTATTATTAAATCAACTATAATTTGGTATGGGATAATTATTTTATTTATTTTCATGATTTATGATATTCTACTATAACTTCATATGATAAAAAGATATACACAACACATATAAACATATTTTTATATGTCTGTATATATTTTTATGTGTCTACACATTTATTTTGTATATAAAAATTTCTTATATTTTGAAATATCAATAGAAAAAAAAATTATAAATATAAAAAATTAGGAAAAACTATATATAACGAATCGGATATTCAGATAAACGGTTATTTAAACGGATGCATATTCGGATCGGATTTTAAACGGATCGGATATACAATTACCAAATCCGTATCCGTTTAGTAATCGGATATCCTTAATCGGATACGGATAATATCCGTTTAAAACGGATGTAGATATTTCCTTTTTAAATGGATACGAACGGTAATCAGATTTTTGGCTATCCGTTTACAACCCTACATTTAAGATATCTCGAGATATGCTCGGAAAGTCGGTTTACACCCTAAGAGGGGGGTGAATTAGAGTGTTTGCAAATTTTTGGTAAAAACAAAAACTTATGCGCAAAGTAGTAGCGGAAAAAGAGCAAGAAAAGTATAAAAGATAAAATACGACACAAGCGATTTTATACTAGTTCGGGAACTCCCTACTCCAGTACCAGCTCCGAGGAGGAGTTCCTAAATTGGAGGTGATTGAACAAACCGAAGTGATTCTTCTGAGTTTGCTCCAAACCGTTTGTTGGGAACGGTTATTCGTTTACTCTAAAATGATGCCGATAGAGTTGGCAAATGTTGGCTTCTAAAATTCCGATAGAAGTTGGAATGTTACTCCTTTTAAAGGCTATCCACACCTTTTACAAATCAATAAAAGATTGGTGTTGCTTCTCTACCAAAAAAAATAACAAATATGAATTGGGTAGGAGAAGAACAAAAGATTAAATCAACAACAACAAAAGCCTATAGGAAAGATATAAAATAATGAAGCACAAATGCCCTTGTGTGTGAGTGTATGAAAATAATGAAAGCTTTTTACTCAAAAGAGTAAGAAAAATAAGAACAAAGCTTTAGGAACACTCAAGAATAGAGAAAGAGGCTTTAGATTTAATTGGGAAATTGTTGTTAATAAAATGAGACTTAGAGGGGGTTTATATAGGAGTTTGGAATGTTAAAATTTGAGTTTTTAACGTTAAAATCCGTTAGGAAGTGATTAGGGGTGATTTGAATTTAAATTGGCAATTTGCTACAGTGATTACAACGGATCTGGTACCCTTCACGGTAGGGTTAGTACCGTCCGGTACCTAGGTACCGTGACCACGGTACAGCCTACCATTTGGGGGTACCGTATAAGCCAAAAGTTTGGTTCACCTCTGGCGATACCTGGTTAGGACGGGGGTGGCCAACCGTCTCTGCCTACCATCCAGTACCTAGGTACCGTTACGCGGTAGGGGGGTACCGTGACTTCTCAAGTGAAACGTACAACGATACGTTCACTTGGCTACCGGCAGTACCATGGTGCCGTGTACACGGTAGCTAGGTACCGTTAGGCCTGTGTAAATTTTCCAAAACTCGTTTTTCGTGTTCCGTTTTCAAAATAACCCCAACTAAGAATATATTTGATATTTTAAAATTAATTTTTGAGTGAAAGGGAATAAGTAAATCATTAAAATATATCATTACCTTTACACAATAATTTCTAAACTCGTAGGAGTATATCTCGGTGATGCTAAACAAGCTAATAGAGGTTTGGCATTTGGTTTCTTCCTGTAAATGATGTTAGTAGCATTTGGAAGACTTATTTGGCACATCAAAACGGTTACGGGGTACGGCATTCAAGGCCAACAATCTCCCCCTTTTTAATGTTGACAAATAAGGCTTTCGAATATAATAATCAAACGCACAAACATATCGTGAAAAGCATATAGGTTCCGTTTGGTACATGGAATTCAAACCATGGAATTGGAATTGAGTACTTCAATTCCAATTCTGGTGTTTGGTAGCACAAAAATTGTGTAGATTTGGAATTGATAGTGTAAAATATAAATTGGAATTGACAGAATTCAATTCTATGGAATTTAATTTCATGAAATTTTAATTCCAATTCAATTCCAATTCCGTCAATTCCATATACCAAACGGACCCATATTGATTTTAAAACTCCCCCTAAGTTGATGCACGTGATATTTTGACAAACCCCCCCCCCTAAATATATGCATATGAAAGCCTAATAATTCTCTTCTTTTTGGCAACATTCAAAAAGGCGGGGTACCAAAAACATGAGTTTCAACACATAGGCATTCATCACGGCAACAATTAGCAAATCAAGCATAATCAAACCATAAGCAAGCAAATCATAAGCATAATCATAACAAAGGAGTTTGAGTCATACAAGTGCATAAATAAGAGTTTGAAACATAAACATGACAAAGAGTTTTAAAACTTAGGCTAAATACATAATGTTTCATCAATATTGTCAAATGCTCAACACTTAGCGGCGTCTAGAAGCACGATCCTCGTTTTGCTTTTGGCGATTCTCACGGTCCTCCATCTTCTTCATCCGATCCGAGAGGTCATCGAGGCTTTCTTGATGTTTTCTCATCGGAGCCACCACGGTCTTGAGGATGAATTTCTTGAACTTCTTAAAGGGATTTTTGGAAGTGGAAGCCATGTGAGAGTGACGATGCATGAGAGAGGCCGAGGAAGCATGAGATGCCGACTTTGAGCGTTTGACCCGAGGAGCACAAATGGGGACCTCCGTGTTTCCATTTTCTTCGGCTTCGGCCCGGGGTGCGCGTGAAGTGGAAGGCAAAGATGACATGGAATGCCGAGGACCATACTCCGCTCGTGTCGCTTCATCAAGATTTTGAAACTCCTTCTTCATGTTATACTCCTCTCCCATCTTTACAAGGCCACAATAGCCAAGGCACTCCGCGTCAAGATAGCGGACACGAGAAGGGCGCACCTCAAGAATTTCCCTCTTGGCAAAGATGTGGGTAATAAGCATGCCATAGGGTTTGTTTAGGTGGTTGGAGCATTCGTGCATGTGTTTAAGGATGATGGAAGGAAGATTGATTTTCTTGCGAGTGAGGAGCCAATATAAGAGAGTGCATTCATAAAGCCCAACTTGTTTATCTTTGTTAAGGACCGAGATGACATTTTCTTTGAGGATTTTGAGGAGGATGAACCTATTTGCGGGTAAGTCTTGGACATTTGGCCTACGAAGAAAGTAGTGCGGGTCCTCAAAGACATGGTCAAGGGCAATGTTATTTAGCACTCGAAGGCAAGAATCGAAGTTAAAATCTCGTGCATCGGTAATCCACCCCTTTTTGCAATAGGTGGAGACTCCTTGACGCCCTATGTGAAACCATTTGGAAAGGTTTTGGGTGTTGAATCCGAAGGTTTTGCCGGCGACAATGGCGGTAATGGAAGGGTCTTGGGGATGATATTTCATCGAAGAATAGAATTGATGAACGAGTTCCAGGTAAACGGGGGCTTGGAGTTGAAGAAAGAAACTCCAACCTTGTTCTTGAATGAGTTCAAGAATGGCAACCGGGATGTCATCTTGTTTAAGAGTTCTCTCCTCAATGATGTGTGGGTCGGCGTAAGCCTTGAACCCGGCTTGAGCATCAACTTGATCATTGGAAACAATTTCACTCATTTTGGGAGAAAATTGAGAAGATAATGAATTTTGGGCGAAATGGTGAGAAATTGACACCAATTGATGAATTGAAGACAGAAGATGAAGCAATGGATGAATTGATACAAGTGTACGGTGAAATTGATACAAGTGAATGAAGCAAATACCTTGAATGGAAGCACAGTAGAGAGAGACGGGAAGGAGCGCCGGAACGAAGTGCAGAGAGAATGGCAGAACCGATAGTGAGAAGACTAGGGTTTTAATGAAATTTGACCCGATGCGACGGTCGGTACCATGGTACCGTTCAAACGGTACCTTGGTACCGTGTATACAGTATGCCATACCGTGTCCAGGTACCGTGTAGCTTCCAAAATCCAATCTCCTCTGGCGGTACCTATTTAGGACGGGACCTTGGTACCGTCAGGGGTACTGTGCCTCAAACGTAATGTTTTGTTTCGACCTCTAGACGCGTGTTTTGAGCATTTGGACTTGATCAATTTATTTTTATGATGTAATGGGATAATAAGGACCTTAAATTTCACTTTAATTCAAGCATTCCCATTTCCCGACAAATATGTAAAATTTGTTTTTCATCCAATGGTTTTGTAAAAATGTCGACACGTTGTTCAAGTGTATTTACATATTCAATTTGAATATCTCCCTTTGCAACATGATCACGTATGAAATGATGTCTTAGTTCTATATGTTTAGTTCTAGAATGCAAAACGGGATTTTTGGAAATATTTATTGCACTCGAATTGTCACAAAAAATAGGCACTTTGAGTTGCGTAAGTCAAAAAATAGGCACTTTGAGTAAAGTTTTCTCAAAAGATCATAACTAACATGTCCTAGTCTACGATGCCATAATGTTGAAAATTCAAGTGAAGTAGTAAGACAAGTGATTTTTGAGTTGCGTAAGTCATTGGAATTGAACTTGTATAAGTTTCCATCTCTTTTAGCCTCAAAAATGATTTCATTGTTATGTACAAATGTCTTTTGATGTTCTCCATGTCTAAGTTAGACCTTTGATTTTCCCCTTTGTAAGCCTATATATATAGGCTCCATATAATGAAATGATCTATCCATCTCTTTACTCTCTCATTGCATTTCTTCTCCTTTGGTTCTCCATTGCACTTTGTCCTTGCATTTGTGTTATCAAGGTATATCTCCATTGCACTTTGTTCTATATCTCCATTGCACTTTGTTCTATCGTTTTGTTCATGACAATATTCATATAATCTTTATTTCTAATACGTTATCAGCACGATACTCTAAAAATTCTAATTTTCTAGAAATTACTCCTCTTCATATCTTGTCCTTGTTCATATTCATGTTATAGATATATACATATACATATACACTAATTTACTTTAGTTTTCAAGTGTACTTGTAGATATATTGAATCTAAAACTCCTAAATATATTGGAGAATTGGCATGTGAAGCCTACATAATGTGTTAAAATTGATGGTTATATGATAAAACTCAACCTGAAGCTTGAGTACATATTATGTCGGAAAAAATATCATTCCTACAGTTTTTTTCTCTTTTACTAGTGAACTTGAAGTTCATATCTTGATTTCATATGCTCGAAGCATTAATAGTGAAACTAAAACCTGAAGATTTGAATATGCCACATGAAAATAAATAAATAAATAAATATATATATATATATATATATATATATATAATAATGTTAATATTATAGACTTATTATTTGTGATTATGTAATGTGCTCTAATTTATCATTATGTCTATAGTTTTACTCTAATTGTAACCTCCGCTATAATAATAATAATAATAATAATGCATAATAAATAATAATAATTGGGACCCTTCAAGTACCTAAGCCGTTTTTATTAAAAAAAACTATTATTCAATCAATACACATTAATTTATTTATTTTAATCTACTAATTTGATATATGTGTATATGTGCGTTTTAAAAAAAATTTACAATTAGATTATTTGATAAATAAAATTGTCTTGTGTAGTGCAATTTACATATACATTTTTTTTTTTTCAACTAGTAGATCCTGGTAATGAATTACAAAAAAAACATGAAATATATGACTAAAGGTTTGGATCAACGAGCCCACATGGTTCTAAATAATAATAATTTATAATTTATTTTCAGTAATGGGTAACCTCACCAAGCTTGAATTTGCTGCCCTTGACATTTCCGGAAAGAACTATTTGACAAGGGTTCTTGATGTTGAGATTCATTTGAATGCAATGAACCTTGGAAATGCTATTAAGGAAAATGGTGGGGCTAGCGAACAAGAAAAAGCAAAGGCAATGATTTTCATACGTCATCATCTTCATGAAGGCCTGAAGTCCGAATATATTGGGGTCAAAGACCCTGCGACTCTTTGGAGTGACTTGGAGGAGAGATACAACCA